GTGCTAAGCGTCATGCACGTTTCTAGCACGGGCTAAGGAATGGACCTCTTAGCCCGTGCTAAGGAGCTGTGTGTGAACGCAACTATTTATTCTACATGTAAACCCAAACTATGTCTTTGTGTTGTCATTGTAAACTTCTATAGTTGTATTTATATCAATCTATAATTGTAAATCTCACAAAAATGGTCAACTGTTTTTTATGTAGAGCACACAACATCTGAATTAGACAAGAAGATAGAGTTCTTCCTAAACTGTTCGACTAGGATAGTGTTCAAACCCACTACATCAACAACAGGTAGAGGTTCAATCATCTGAACTATTGGAGATTAGTTAGGATCATACCTACCATAGTTGATGGCATTTTCATTCAACCAATCAAATTTACAGTCAATATCTGACTGTCATGAGATATTACCATATTAACCCGGGCACGCGCCCCTCCCTGGGCAAGTGTCCACCCCCTGTTTTCACAAAAGTTACATGTTGGGGACATCCTCGGTTAAATGCCCAGGGTGATTTTTAGCCAAGAACGGGTCAATAATAAAGTTTTATTTGTCAAAAACGAACGCGTTCGATTTATTTAAATAGTGTGTTTGTTACGGTAGTTCTCTTTTTGGAGTGTGTGGTGGCCCTGAAAAGGGCCGCTTTGTTTGTGTTTTTACGTAAAAACTCATTGGAACTTAACGACGTAAGATGAACCACGCAGCATGTGGCGCACACGTTCTGCTTTCTCTTCATTCATGATGAATCCAATATTGCAATATTGCAACGATCCATACCTCGGTGAGTGGTTTGAAGCACTTAGCTTTGGTTTCAAAACGTAGCATTTCGCTGACTGTGAATCCATAACGGGAGCTAGCACTTTTGAGACATCACGTCATAAACTTGCTACTTTCTTTCCATCCTTCATCACAGCTATGGCATTTGAAGAAAAAACATTTTGCCGACCTCAAGTCCATTACGATAACCATAATGAGGCATGCTGACGACGGGAACTTGTTGCATCATCGTTCTTTTTGTAATTTTGTCACGTGTGTGGGTGCGTGAATAAATCATGTTAATGGGGTCGACCAGAGTCTATTTTCAGTCTGTTTTTTATGTATCGCCATTTGGATATGTTTATGTATTCACAATAGTTTGTAAACATTTCACATCAGTAATAAAAGGTTTATTTGTTTCATAACCCTGTCTGCTATTCTTCAGTAATTACGATGCGATGTATCAATACGTGCGTGAACAAAATTATGCTAATGAGGTCATCGCCATCTTGGATTACAAGCTGTAGTTTTTCTCGGCCGTTTCGACTTGCACTGATCACAATACTTACCATACTTTGTAGCCAATTTCAGTGAGTAATACAACTTCATTCGCTGACATAAAACAAGTTTTATTCTTGAAATTCGACCCTGTGTCTTAGTGTTCCCACAGTTCTTGACCGAGTGCTCACGTTTATTGAAACCTCGCATAAATCAAGAAATAAGTACGTGTACAAAGTGTACGAAAGCATTCCTTTATTTGACCTTATCATACGATCACAAAAACAACTTTTAAAATCTTTTTTGGGGTGGTCCTCTGGTAAGCGCCCACCCCCAATTTCCCCCGATTTTGTATATTTAGGCCCCTGGGCGTGTGCCCGGGGTAATACGGTACAAGCATCATATCTAGGCCTAGTTGATGGCATTTTCAATCAACCAATCAAATTTACAGTCAATAGCTGACAGTGATGAGATATTACTAGCATCATACCTAGGCATAGTTGATGGCATTTTCATTCAACCAATCAAATTTACAGTCAATAGCTAACTGTGATGAGATATTACTAGCATCATACCTAGGCATAGTTGATGGCATTTTCATTCAACCAATCAAATTTACAGTCAATAGCTGACTGTGATGAGATATTACTAGCATCATACCTAGGCATAGTTGATGGCATTTTCATTCAACCAATCAAATTTACAGTCAATATCTGACTGTCATGAGATACTACTAGCATCATACCTAGGCATAGTTGATGGCATTTTCAATCAACCAATCAAATTTACAGTCAATACTGACGTCATGAGATATTACAGCATCATACCTAGGCATAGGTTGATGGCATTTTCATTCAACCAATCAAATTTACAGTCAATAGCTGACTGTGATGAGATATTACTAGTTCTATACCTAGGCATAATTAATGGCATTTAAATGCAACCAATCAAACCTAGTCAATGGCTAACCATAATAGAATATTACTAGCAACGTAGCTAAGCATAATTGAGTTGCATATAAGAAGGAAAATGTAATATTTTATAGTTAGAAGAACAAAGTTTATTCATTATTTTACCTCAAGAACTAAAAGTTTTCCTTTTCGTTTCATGGTGACTCCTTCCATGTCATAACGCCTTATATCAACTTCCATTTGGATTTCTTCGATATGTAATAATGTATTCATTTTGTTGCTATAGTTACTCATTGACAGTGGTGACTCCAATGTTGTACTAGTAAAGAAGGACATTTAATATAACAATTTAACATAATATACAGCATTTTTGAAACACGATTCAATGTAACAATTGTATTAACAGCTTTGAGAATTTGATTCAAGTAATATTTAAACAAAATTGAATGCAATATATTCCACAAGACAATATCTGTAGCAGGCAAACAATAATCATTACTTACGATATCTCATTAACTTTGCCTTTGTTGAGTAGACTACGTAACTCATTTGGCACTTTATAATCTGGTAACGGTAATTTTGCTGATAACCCGTCTTGATTACTATTGAATAAAAATATTGTCAATTATTATACATCTGTTTAAAATAACAGAATATATCCATCCATAAAATGACAAACAAACCTGTTTAAAAGTGTAATGAACGCATTTGTATGTTTTCCTTTTTTTGTAAAATGTGCAATACATTCAAAAAGTTTAATTTCTTATCGTATGCAGCAACAATATAGCGTGTAATTGAAATAGAATCGTGTCACTAAACACAAAAAGTTTTGCAGACACAAAGATTATTCTTCAATAGCATTTTGAATTGTCATGACCACAAGCAGTAATAGTAAGTTAATCATGAGAATACCTCAAAATATACACTCGGGCAATATGGGATCACATTGACCTTCGCTATGCGGTGACCGATATGATCAACGTACTGCCCTACTGTACTCCACAGTATTATCGTAAAAAACAAATACTAATTTGCTGACAGAAATGAAATATCTATATCATATCATGGTCCTGTTAAAAAACTTACGAAAATAGAGGACGTACACCCTCTTCGACAGCTCCCCTTGGCTGATACTTTGATATGATTGGTGGTTTAGTATACGGCGTCTCTGGTACAATCATGGCTGTTATGTCACTGCTAACAGTCACAGACAGGAAACGCACAATGTGGAATGTTAGACCATCTGCTTGATTCTTGAACTCAAATGCTATCGGTGTTCGGTAACGATTAAAGTATCGGACTTTGCAGTTCAACTCTATGGTGTAACTGCAACCTACAAGATAAAAATCAACACTATAGGGTTCTGGTCATGGTCATGTTATAAATATAATCATTTTTTGCAGCTTTTTTTACATAAGA